TTTCCAATCTGACTAGAGTGGTGTGAGTGTGAGTTGCCCATGCAGTTCTGGTTTTGATATCCTCATCCGTTCTGCCTGTAGTTAAAACGATACTGCCTGGCGAGGTAAAAGATGTCACCTGTTTCAAATTTCTGGTGTTGTTGTTTTTGGTTGATTATTTTCATTACCTCCGCCTTCTGTTTGTTCACTTGGAGTCATGCCTTTGCTGTTTCTTGTGCCAGTTTGTGGGTTTTCGCCTTTGAGTCTTCGATTATTTGTGACAGTAGACATAAATCACGCGAGAAGTTCAGATCTAGTATCTTCTTATCGGTTCAGAGTATTCCTGTCTTCTCGCTTCCTACGGTCTGATGCATGATCCAGTCCATCACAATTAGGAATATCACTGGTGATAGAAGTCAGCCTTGATTTACTCCTGTCTTCACTTCAAACGCTTCACTGAGTTTTCCCTTGTGGATCACTTGACATGTGACACTCAGATAGTTGTTGAAGGAGGTTAATAAAGAATTTGGGCACTCCATAGCGTTTAAGTAGTTCCCAAATTACTTTGCGGTCTACGGTGTCGAGGGAATTTTTAAAGTCGATGAAGTTGAGATAGAGATTTGACTGTCACCCTATGCCTCTGTTCGTTGATGATGCGTAAATTTCCAGACGTGATTCGCTCTTCCTGAATGCAGGTTTTCCTGGTAGGAGTTTTGTATCCAGTGCATCTTTTAGTCTTTCTAGGATGACGCGACTTATTTTTTTGTTTGGTGTGGATAAGAACATGATTCTGCGCCAATTCTTACAGAGGTCTAAGTCGTCCTTCTTTGGCAGTTTGAGACTGGATTCAACACAGAACTTTGCTCAGATGTGCAGCAGTTCGAGTCGCCACACTCTATGTAACACAGAGAAAGAAGAGAGTAAAGGGTGGTTCAAAAGACAGATAATAAACAGAAGTGTCCCAATCAGTAGGTACCTTTGTTTCTTTCCAAACTTTTTGCAATAGTGGCGTGAGGACATCCGCTATGATCTCGGGATCCATTTTCAGTGTTCCAGGAGGAATGCCATCCAGCCTTGCTGTCTTCGCGGCCTTCAGTAGCTTGATTGTATTCACGTCTTCTGCAGTTGTTGGTAGATTGGTGTCCACTGACAGTTCTGTAGCTTTTGATGGTATTTCTGGCCGAGTTGTAGGTAATGGTCGGTTCGAGCTTTCTTATAGGCTTCTTATCCTAGTACGGCGTGCTAGCTTAGACTTCATTATGCTTTGTGTTCTGCTAATCTAATCTATCCTGGCCTAATATTTTGACTTGAGTATTTGACGTCATGATCATTGTAACGTATTAGATAAACTAAATTGTTTTGTTTAGTGGGTTCCACAGGTACTTTTAACCGACGTAATTTTTTTCTAAGTGGTGTTCTAGATTTGAATGTCGCTTGTTAAGATTCCTATGTGAGGTCCTAGAAGTTTGGTCTTTGTATGGTAACTCTAGTGATGTTTTAAGTTCCATCTTTTTGGTGTTGTCATCTTTGTGTGTATATTAATTACTCATATCATACCCATTTATCCGCTTCATTTCTATTGTCTCATACATTTCTTGATTATTATGTATGGATAATTTTTAAGCGTCAAGGTTTCTCTTGTCTTTCGTACTTCCTGCTATAGATTTTCCTTTTCACTATTTATATGTTTAGTCCTTGAACATTTCACCAATCCTACAAACGATGGTGTACAGAGTTGTGTAGTTACAATTGGTATGATTATAAAACAATAAATTTTGTTCAAAATGCCACCCAGTAAATAATACCGTATCACTGTGATATATCCAATAAACGAATAATTTTAGAATTCTTAAGGCTATTACTAGTTTACTTACGTTCGGCTTGGGTAACAAGGGAGGTCAGTCGATGCGATTGTGAATATGCATCGACTAGAATGCCTTAGACATGTGCTACACAGATCAAGTCGTCGCTTTCCCCAAAAAGCGGAGTTGGGTTATATAAGCTTAGGTTGGAAAAGAGTTAGTGGTGGTCAGATACAGCGTCAATGCATGAAATCTTACACTGTTGGTTTGGGCCGTGCAGGAAAATTGATAATGTATAATGGGCGTCTTCAAGATGGCAGAAACCGGTAACTAGAAGGTATTGATGATATTACCGAAAATCGCGTTTAATGACATGATTGAATTATCGTTTTTACACTTCTGTTATCGACTAAAGTTTCGTCGCTCTCCTGTACATTTCTGTTCACTGTAATATATTTACATTGTTTTCTGCACGCCTCTATATGCCTTATGAAATATGTCAACTTAAATTGCTGCGATTTTGTACAAGTTTTTGTTTTATTGGATTCAGTTCGGTTCGTCTCCGAGAAATGACTCTCCAGGTCCCCTTTAACTTTTTAGTAATATGCTATTAGTTCTTTTGCATTTTATGAATTTTTATTTGCTTTCGTAATGACATTTCTTTATGTCGTGTGCTTATGTTCTAGTCTTAATGTCAAGAATATTCAGTCTAACGTTTTACTCGTCCGTATTGATCTGCTCACGATGATGTCTCCAAATATCTACCTCGAAAAGGATTCATATCTTCAGAAGCCTAAAGTACTTTTGAGCGAAAGTGCTGTCAGGATGCACTATCTTCCTGACTACTACAAACTTTTGATCACAATTCATTTTTTCCCATATGGTGCTTTCTTACCACCCCATCCAATTTAAGCATAGGGAATATAGCGAATAACTGACTTGATCATATCACTCCTAATGGGTTTACGGTCGATGTGCTTTCTTAACCAAAAAGACTTTTTGGTTTTCAGCAGAGAGGTTATCGACTGTCCGTTTAGAGTTAATTGTAGTATGGGGCAGCGCACTCTGTCTCACTATATGACTGAAATGTGATAATTAAGGATGGAATGTCTACCAGGGTTTCGAGTATTTAACCGCAACTTCTTTATATTACTACGCCTGCGTTATGTAGCTGTTAGTTTTACTGTGTAGTGATTGAGAACAAGGGTCTATGTATGGTATTGAAGTCATTTCATGATACAAATTAGCGTAAACCAAAATACTTGGGATATGGTTTATAAATTTTTGCCCACCAGTCACCTCAAATTCTAATATTTACTATAGCGACAGATTGGATAGCAGTGAAGCATAGACATATCGAGGTATCTTACTAGTTTATCAAATCGATGTCGACTGCTTGTCCAGGAATGCATTAGATTGGAAACTATAGGTGGTATATCTCAGCAGCTGTTATAGTTCCACAGATGTATTCATTATTTGTCTTCATCTGAGTCTTCACTGCATCTTTCACTTTATTGTTTATTGTTTTGTATGATAGTAGCATTTCATCTTATAATCTACTTAGCATTAGGATATGAGGTGTAATGATATGGAATTCAATTACAGAACTTATTCTAATTTGTCTTTTTCTATAGTTTCCCTGTATATATTTTTTCCACATGCGTTGTATCCCACCTACGTCAAGTCATTTTCCTCTTAGGTGGGGTTATTTAACAGATTTTAGTTGTAAAGTTTATCCTCGTTTTACTTGGCTAATATTAATTTACTGACATTGTTGTAGTAACCGCTGCTGTTACTACCTAATAGTAAGTTACAGCACAGTCTACAGACCTATGCGAGGTGTACTCTCCTTGAATAATAAGACAATTTACTTATTAACTCCAGTATCCTGGTGCTTATGTGTTATAAAACTGGACCTCATATTTTAGTTCTACTTCTTACTGTGAATTAAAATAGTCTACTGAATGTCTCTGATATCGATATGTTTTAGCCTAGACAATAATTTACTTTGATTCATTCCAGGTACGAATCAGATATGTCGTATTTTTGTTAGGTTTTCAGGTCAAACCAAAACTTGGCATCAGTTCATGAAATCTTTGAAAGTTTGTTTGAGCCACTTAGGCAGGTGTAAACTGCCTGGTTGGCGGCCTCAAATTCTAAGTACCAGTTGCTGAAGACAATTGATGATATGGTTTCAAATCGTTCTCAGTGGCGCAGACGCATTCATTCTTTGTAATCTCCCATATCCGTTAGACCCGGTTGTTTTTCCATGTTATCACTCTTCCTCTAGTACGTTTCTGCTTATTTATTCTTCTTTTGAATCTCTTTTTTCTTTTTTGTCTTCCTTTGTCTGATACATAGAGTGTGGAAAGTTGAACTGCTGCACTTCTGTGCAAAGTTCTGTGTTCAAACCGGTCAGTTAGTTTGATTTTCAATGTGTCTATCAAATTCTCCACAGAAAGGTTTAGTTATTTATACTCATGTAACTTCGTAAACCTTTGGCTTAATGGAAATAGTACTTATCGATACAACTGAACTTCTTTTTTCTATATCTACAACAGTGGTACTGAAGAGATTTTTAAGGGTAACTTGTCGATGTTATTTTCATTAAGCTATGCGCTTCTATAAAATTGTGATTGCACTCTGTTTGGCCTGTTTTGTTTGGAATCAAGCTAATTTAACATCCCTGTGTCACCACTTGCTCCCGTGGTTTACATTAGGAGTCGTACACGAGTCTAATACGAATGGAAAATATTCCACTTTTGTGTAACGCTTACCGGTATTCGACACTGCATAAGCACCCATTTTTGGTATAGACTTACATCAAAGTTAGTTTTCATTACGGCTAGATAGGCAAAAAGTTCAAAATCTTTAAAAAGCATTCACTTATTCAAATAACAGATCAGTTTTTAAAATAACATAGTCTCGGGATATAGTACAATCTAGTTTAATGACAGCAGGTTCTAGGTTGGTTTTGTCTCGTTTGGTATTCCGATATCCTCCAAGACTTAGTCGTCCTAGTTTTTTGATAAATGTCGTTCCAAACGAACTTTCATTACTTAAATTTGTACTCGTATTAATTGCTAATCTGTTGTTTGTTGGTGTACACGAATGTCTAGGACCTTCTCTACTATCAATATGAAAAACTGTTGCTCCTTTAGTTGATGAGTTCCTTCCTAAAGAGCACTGCGAACGCACTTGCTCTTCTTCTCCCATCGGTTAGGTCAGCATGAGCAGGCAACGGATCAAAAATAATTCCATTTTCTCCAGCTTCTTGGTTTTTTTCCACATCACTTTTAGAATATCTATGACACCGTAGTTATCACGGGCTGATGCTGAAATAATCGAACTAAATGGTATTTGTGATTCATCTGCTACTGATTCTACTTCTTCATCTGTTATCAACCATTCACTTTCTCTAATGTCGTTTTTGTTGACGACTATAACTATAATTAATTTTCTGTAATCTTCTGGTCTCTCTTCTTGGATTTCCATCAGAATTGTTTTAATTCTATCCAAACTTGACGAGTCATCTCTAGCACAAACAAGTACAAAAGCAGAACCTCTTCGATGCCATAGTCTGTTCATTGCTGGAAACATGTAACTGCCTGCAGTATCGATAAGTCTCAGTCGACATAAATTTCCTTTAACTACAAACTCTCGAATAAATGAATCTTCGATAGTCGGTTCATATTTATCGTCCCAGGTATTGGAACTTGGTCCTTTGATTATTCTCTGAATTAGGGCAGTTTTTCCCACTCTACCTTCTCCCATGAATACAACTTCTGCATGCGGTTGTTCTCGATCATCCATTGTAGTTACCTCCTAATAAATAAAGAATTTAAGAAAAAAAAAGTTCTTTGGGTATAATTAGCAATCATTAGTAGATTGAATAGTTTGTCTTGTAATCAATACGCTTACTAAATACTCTCTTAAATTATGAAGACCTTCTCCAAAAAAAACTTGTTATTGTTGGTTATTAAAGTTCACGATTTTTGTAGTCATTTGGCGCTGACATGGCATCAGCTGGAAACTCTTATTAAATGGAGGTCCTTGTACTAATCTTTGAACTACATTTCATTTCGTTTTAGAAGTTCAACACCCCTTGTAGTAGTTAGTCTCATCAGAATGGCAGTGATAAAATCTGAGTACTAAGATTACTGAAGAAATATGACAAGAGGAATCCTTACGGAGATTGGGGCTTTTATAAACGTCAAAATCTGACAAACTTCAACACAACGACGTCAAAATATTTCCTCACCTTTAAACTGAGTAATGTTAACCATACCCGCAATAGCTTTTTTAGCTCTAATTTATAGGGGGAAAATTCTTAATCTCCCATTTCGTGACTGGTCTTACTGCTGTATTAATCAATCGTACGTAGAGACAACCATTTTAAGTAGTTTGAAAACCATGTATTATGATGCATTTTTACTTAGGATATGTTCACAAGTGGTGTTTTTCTCAGTCTCGGTAGCAGACTACTTTTAATAATTACCTTTATTGTAAAATAAATATACAAAGTCCAAGCTTATCGCGATGTTTTTATGAAATATTAAGATATTTTATTAAGAAAATGAGTCATTTTAATAATCATGCTTTCATTTACGTGGTCGCTTATTTTGTACTGATACGGCATATATCCAGCTCTTATGTATTATATGCTTCTCCTCTTTTTGGTGATGCATTGTTATGACTGTTATATTGATTGCACCATTGTAGTGCAACTAAATGGTTATTTGATCGATAAAAATAAACTGGACTGATGCGCTAGCTGATCTATTAGTCGCATCACTTAGTGCTTTAGCCAAGCTGTATTATTCACACAAGCTCTCACTGAAGTAACATCAGAATACAGAACAACTGTTCCTCAACAGAAACTTATTTTTTCTCAGTTAAACTATCATTTATTTGGAAAAATATGACTTAGACAATTTAAATATAGAATATAACAGATAACAAAACGTCAACAAGGTGTAATTTGAAAATTCGATTAATTTTCACCAGTAGATGTTGAACTGCGTTTCAGTTCCCTATGACATGCATATTACAGGCAGCTGCTAGTTTTGTCTTGAAACTGCATGTGTTATAAACTGCTGGGTCAAATGTACAAGTGTGATGGTTAGATTAAAGAAACTGTTTTATGGGTCTTTTTGGAAAATAAAGCAAAGGTGTTTGCCCAATGGAAAGAATAATGTTCGATTGATATTAACTATCCAAAGCCATTTATGACTGGAATATTCATTTTTCTTCAGTATATTTTAGGCTTTAAATAAATCACTCTCTCTTCTAGCATGTCTCTTTTGTTGGTCCTAATATCGTCTGTTGATCTATGAGTCTGCCTTTTTAATATATATTAGTCACATATAAATGATTAATAGTAGCTCGGGTTATCCAATTCCTATTGGAGAATGCGAATTTCAATCTAAAGATGGACACAACGACTAGTTTTGGTATTAGTTTGTATAGTAAGCCATCAGTTGGGAGATAGTCACTTCTCACTGTGTACTTGTTTTGTCACTGACTGTATTGGTTCTCGTGTGTATCCTTTTAATTAATAGAATTCAGGTTTAGTTAGTTTGCTGGTCAGCTGTCAGAGTACACATCTAAGCGTTCAACTACCTTGTAAGCATGCTATCATTCAGAGATATTGGCCTTCAAAGTCGCTACTAAAGCAGGGGACATTGTTCAACGTATAAAGCAGAATGAAATAATATTCAAGAAGCACTGGTGAAATCATCTGAGGTCTAAACATCGTACATATATATATCCCTCAATCTGATATCTGTTGCTAATCAATTTAGTTTATAAAGCTTGGTTGTTAATCTTTTATTAGATTTCTTATTCTTAGGATAGGGATACAATATCTTTACATAATCTGTTTTTAATCTTCTGGAGTTGTGCTACTTAAATCTTTATGTATTACTTCAAAATAGTGTCAGAAGAAAAATCTTGCCCAAACTTTTGTAAAAAAAATAACGGGATTATCTTCATTGCTCCAAGGCAATAGTGACCTGTATAATCTGGATTTTTATAAACTCATACTACTGTCTGTAATTAAGTAATATGTTTTAAAATTCCACTTTTCACGTGTTCGGAATAATATATCAAGACTATTGCTTTTTTTAATAATATCGGTGATAAAAAATAATTATCGTCACTTTCATCATTTGGGTGTCTCTAAGACTGTTCAAATCTAAACGAAATGCCTGGTTTTAATAACACTGGTTAAATGACTTTCTTAGTGTGTCAAATTACTTCAGTGCTATGTATCAAATAGGTTTCAATAAATATCTTAGATATAGGTTTAATTTTGTTTGGTTGTTTGGAGGCAATCAGCAAGAAGCACTAGATCTAAGTTTCGTGCTCATCGGCAGTCAACAGCAAGGTGCATGTGTAACCTCGAAGGAATTTACATAACTTACGTCACCCCTGTGCTACTCGGGCTCAGTTGTAATGTCTTCATTGAATTTAGCTGAATATGATGCGTGTACAATTGGTATGATATCTTAGATCGACACAATATAGTACTAGGATTGTAGGAAAGAAAGGGAATACAATTTTTCCATACTCCTGATATTGTACGTTGTGCATGAATTCGAATTTTATGTTTGTGTTTGTTCTTTGCAGGATACTGCATAATTTTTACATCAGTTCAACTGAGTTTTCTTATTAATGTACTTACGTACTTTCCCTGTGTGTATGATAGTGAAAGGTGCAAGCCTCTTCACTTGTTTGCATAATGTCAATTTCTATCTTCTCTAATTTTTTTTAACTCAGTGATCAAATATAGTCATACTATGAGTTTGTGCCTATTACAGTAAACATTACTTTGTATCGTTGAGAGAAAATAAGCTTCTTTTTAAGGAAACATACAATTTGGTAGTTTTCTGTGCTTTGATATTTGAATGTGGATGTTTCATCACAAGACTTGATGATATTTTTCATTCTCATCCTGAGCTATAAATTTTCTTTGCTATTTCATTGTAAGGATGCTTTCATCTTTATACGGAAATGAAACTTGTGTTGAACTGAAGGAGTTTTCACGGTTAGATACTCGTAATAATATTTTATCTCAATTGTATGTGCTTTCTAAATATTGTTCAAGTATATTTTTATGTCTTGTGTAAACGGTGAGCGCAAATTTAAGCATACATAAAATAATACTGCTCACTAAACTAAATCATTTGGTTCTAAATATAATATAACCATTCATTAAAACTCGAGGTATACACTGTCAAAGTTTCTATTTCATCCGATGTAACAATGCCAAAATTAACACAAAGTAGTGTAGGCATTATTTCTTACAATTTATCTTTAGATATCTAGCTTTCGCTTTAATCTGAAATAAGACATTCTAATTCAAAAGAGTGGTGCTTCTTCTTTCCCACTGGTATTCAAGTATTATGTTTGACTGGCGGGATGTTATTTATGCACCAATATTCTTTACATTTCAGTAAGGTAGCTTTTGAGGAATTTGTTTAGTTCCTGTGATTTATTTGACTCGTTGTGATTATCTATAAGTAAGTAACTAGTGGATTTCAATGAGTGTTTACAAGTATACAAGTTTAATTTCCAGAATCTGGCATTATAAACTCCGTATTTTTTTTTTCCGCAATTAAACTGGACCTTAAAAGTTGTGCATGTCACATTGAGACAGAATCCAACTGGTATTTTCAGCTGTTAGTAAACATCACTTCCAGGTTGTTTGCTGCTCTACATCGGAGTAATTGAATGTCCTGAAGTTGCTTCTAGAAGTTATGACTCAAACCGTTAATTGTGTTGAAGGTGTAGACTGGTGCTCTCATTAGTATTATGTGCTGCAAACTCATTGGAATTGCTAAATACCGTATTGTTTTCAAGATATGATAAATGAACGGCAACTTACATGATTTTGGATCTGAGGATTATGCGTTCATTCTTATGGTTAGTTGTTTGCATAATCAACAGTTGTCAAACAAAACAAAACAGTGAATTGCTATTTTGCATGTTAGGATTTTCGAAATAGTAATAATGTCAGTTTTCGACATAGAACTTTGCACCGATGTGCAGCAGTTCAAGTCGCCACACTCCATATAGCACACAAAGCAGGAGAAGAAAGTAGCAGAAATGCATAATAGAGACAGTAGACAGGGATATGAGACACAGGGTATAGTAATAACGAAGAACAATATAGCTTCGTTGGAAATTATAAGTCACAAGAAGTGGATGCATCTGCGCCATTGAGAACAATTTTGAGCCATATCACCGATTGTTTCCAGCCATTGGTTCTTACCGTCCCGAGGACCCAAACCAGAAAGTTTACACCTCCACACGTGACTGGCTTAAACTAACTGTTGTGGATTTCATTGACTGGTGCCATGTTATGGTTTGACCGCCGCTAGCTCTTTTCCAACCTGACCCAATGTCAGCTAACATTGCCCATCGAAGAAGGCGATGACTAGGCATACGTAACACATGTCCTAACCATCTCAGCCGATGTAAATTCACAGCCTCGTCGATTGATTTCCCCTCCTTACCTAGCACTCGACCGATGCTTAACCTCAATATTGCTCACCCTATTATACCACTTCACACGGGAGATAGAACACAGACACTTATGATCAAAGACAGTTAGCCAGGCTTTTCATGTGTTCCACTCTCAATGGCCATGTCTCACAGCCGTAAAGGAGGACGAAGTGGACTATTGAACAGTACACACGTCTTTTAATCAACAACGGGATATCGTGTCTGCACCAGAGGTGGCGTAAACTAGCATATGCGAAATTAACTCTCTGCATCCGTGCTGAGATTTCGTCAGTGATCAACCCATTGGCGCTGGTTGATGCAAATTCACAAATAAGTGAAGCGGTCAACGTGCTCTACCACTTCACTTCCTATTTCTAAGCTAGGAGTCAGTGTAGTCCAGTCCTGTGTCATCATCTTACATTTGGCGGGAGCTAATCGCCTGTCAAATATTCGTAGATTGCAGCTCAAGGTGTTCAGAGGACTCTGCATTTTGTCAGTCTTCACCTAGGAGGGAGGACTATATTATCCGCATATTCTAAGTCAACGAAATTATTATTCCCTGGTAACAAGTCAATCCCTGAGTCGCCGAAGACAGTTAGGGTTAAGTCTACGATGAAATTAAACAGAAATGGGGGCTGTGGGCATTCCTGACGGACACCACTGATTGTCACCACTTCAGATGACAACTCGCCGTAAGCTCTTACCTGACTACATGAGTTCTAGTAGAGTGGTTTGATGAGTGCAGTGTACTGTCTCGGTATTCCATTCACAGACAAGCATCGCCAGAGTACCTCTCGGTCGGCAGAATCGAATTCCGCCTTTAGGTCAAGAAATATAACGATTGTTGGATGTCAGTAAGTATGTCTAC